TTTTTTACCGTGACTTTTTGGGTAAATAAATATGTTGGGGCATGAACACACAGTACCATCTAGTTCCATGGTAAGCTACGAGGCTTGTGTTATGGATACCAGATAGTTGATACACTACACATATGTAACTTTAACATATTATCAATGTAAATACCCATGACTGGAGTACATACATTCGTGCTTATCATACAAATGAATGTCCCCCAGCGGGACTCAAACCCGCGACCGCTGGCACAACAAGTAGGGTCACTACAAACTAAGCCAAACGTGTCGTCAATGGCATAAATTGTTTTGATTCTTTTAATGATTTTATAATACTCATATAATATTTGTTTTTATAAACTTGACACAAGATTGAACTTAACTATAGGCAATAAAATTATAAACGCAGGTCTTAATTTTGATTTACATATAATTTTTCTATAAATACATGTAATAAAATCTAAATCTAAACTATAGTTTTTAGAATTTTCATTTGTCTTTCTGGGAATTCATCAGGAGAAAACTACTGAACAGATTTTGATGAAATTTGGTATGATGTTAGCTGGTTATCCGGGTCAACATATAGGATACTTTTTATTGCGGGAAAATCTCTTATCTCTGAAACATCTATACTAAACGTTAAAACGTAACTAGGGACGAACTCGAACGGAGAGATAGTGTCGCTAGTTACTTATAAAATTTCGGTGTTTGTGAGTTCATAATATATCTCCTTCTAATCGGCTTTAATGAATATTTTTTGTAAATTTATGGGTCACCTCGATAGTTCTAAGCTATACCTATAGTTGTCAAGATCCACTTTTTTATATTCTAAATAAACAAGGCCTGTGGGAAGACAACGTCTGCCTATTGAGTCTGCAAGTTTTTTTTTATATGGTAACAATAAATTTCATATAAACAACTTTTTAATTAATAGGTGAACACCTTTAACCTTGTAGATCAAATTCACTTTAAAAAATGTTTTTCTCATATTTTTTAATAGAAAAAATCATTAAGTAAAAATTATTATATTTAAATTTATTACTATATATTATAATTGTAAAAAATGAGAACAAAACAAAACAAAATTAGTGAAATTATCGCGTGAAAACATACAGAAATCCTTTTTGGAGTAGATCAAAAAATGAAGACGTCACAATGATAAAATTATTAACAACTAGCGGCTCACCCTCGCTTCGCTCGGGTTCGTCGCTAGGTACGTTTTAAATAGATATAAAAAGAAAAAATCTTTCTTTCTCACATTTTAATTATATGTTTTAATACTTACCTATTCCGGACTAAGAGAAATCCAAAAATTAAAATATCATAAAAATTGGAACGCGGTCGAACGGGATAAAAAGTATCCTATGTCCTTCTCCTGGCTCTAAACTACCTCCCTGCCAATTTTCAGCTAAATCGGTTCAGCCGTTCTTGAGTTATAAGCGAAGTAACTAACACGACTTTCTTTTATATATATAGATTAATTATTGACTTGACAACCTTTGGAACTTCTGAACTGTAACTAAACATTTCTCTAAGCCATTATAGAAAAAAAAACATTATTTTCTACGTGAATCTGTGCTCAACTGACACGTTTTGAAGCCATTGACAATAAATTTGAATAAAAAAATTATAATACTTTCTTAGATTTACGCGAATATTTGACATTTTAAATAAAATATCTTTTCGGATTATTTCGCGGATTTAAAAATGATTGATTTTGATGAATGATGATTGATTGAGAAAAAATGATTTTGATTTTTGGTTCCCGACGTTTCGAATGCTTTACAGCAATCATGATCACGTCGGTCCGCGATGGTCGGGAACCAAAAATCAAAATAAATCCGCGAAATAATCCGAAAAGATAGTTTTATTTAAACATCTATTTCACTAACAGTACAGATCATATAATTATTATAGTATTACATATCACACATGATCATTCTATATATATATATATATATATATATATATATATATATATATATATATATATATATGTATATCATCAATAGTATAAATTTCCGTACACTTTAGTAACAAGCTTGTGTCCAACATAATTTATCCCAGCGTTGGGAAATGCTTTCTCGAAATAAACTTACGCGTGTAAATACAAAATAACTCCCATAAATAGAATAAAATAGCGCGTCGTACGATAAATACTCGCCCATATAAATTACTATTATCACGCGTATACGAGGCGAAGCGCTGTGGTCGCGGCGTGAACGATAGGTTGACCATGAGGTTGTCACTGTTATATGAGACTTTTCTATTTTTTTACAATTTTCTCTGTATATAAAAATATATGATTTTTGGGTGCCTTTTATCAGTTTAGTAAGCCTGATTAAAACACGCAAAGTTTCACTATATTCGGTTAAGTAGATTATAAAATGGAGATTGAGATTTACGGTCTTAAAATCGTAATCTAAAAGTCACGTTTATTAGTTAACTAGTGATTTAGTTTTGCTTCGTTTCTGTGCATATCTAGGTATATTTTGTATTAATTATGATATTATATAAGAATAGCTTATGACAACATATCGTGGCTTATTTTTGTACTAAATTTCATTTAAATCTGCTTAATTATTTAGAAGTAACAAATATACAATATTCCACAATTATAATTGAAATGTGACAATCTGAAGGACAAGAGAATTTGGTATAGCTGTTTAGTATATGGTGGGTGGTGTTTTTGGATAGGAGAGATTGTAGGGAATCTAAATAGACGTATAAAAGTATTTTTTAGGAAATGACGGAGTCAAAATTTATGGAGACCTAAAGTTACAAAATTAACATATTTTTTCATACCTAAATAAGTCATTACTAAAGATACACATACTTTTAAAGAATAGTAAACATTGTTTTTCATGTACAATTTATATTATTATAACAATTAACATTTTTTAGTTTTGTTTTTTCAATAATTTCACTTAAAACAATATTTATTTTAAATATAATAATCTTACATTTTGACAAAACTGTCTATTTCTTTTTTTAAATATTGTGGTGCTGATAGTATAACAGAATATTACTTATGCTAGTAGATGGATGAACGTAATAGTTGTAGCCGCAGGTATTTTAAATAATATAAAGTGCTACAGCTTTTTAATTACTTTTTTCACAAAATGACTAAACAACGAATGATTTTTTTCGGATGTAACAGATAAAACAATGTAAGAATTTGAACAACTGAACGTCAATCTGTCAACTTATTTTTTAAAGAGATTTTTTGTCCCAAATTTTTCACTTTTCCGAACAATATTTCGAACATTTCTTTCATACAAACCTTTTCCTGGTAATTACAAACACAACAAACAAAGAATTAGCCAAATAGGTGAACACGTTCTGAAGTAATTCGCTTACATACATTTGGCAATTGATTTTTTTATATAGATTAAATAATCGAACGAATTATAAGTATGTCATAGTAACGCGTGGCTGGGTCTGCTAGTATTATATAAGTTAAGAATGCATGTAAAGATATAGATAGATAATATAATGTACTAATGATTTACACTCGTTTCATTAGGTACATAACACTAGCCTGTATTACTACAGGTCACAGTCTATCTGTGTTCTAATAATCCAAAGTTTTGTAAACAAAACATTTTAATGGGATATTAAAGAGTAAAGATTACTTTTGACATAAACAAACTCGGCTAACTGTGAATAAATAAAAGATTTTTTAATTTATTTAGTATTTTCTTACATAAAATTTACTAAAAAACAACAAATTCAAAAGCATTTCCTAAGAAATGGCAACAACTTAGTCTTATACGCCCCGAGAACTAACAAGGTAAAAAGGAATCTAATGTTTGAAGGAGCACAGTTATATAATAAATTACCAACAGATATAAAGGAATCAAAAACAATTACAAAATTTAAAAAAAATGCTAAAATATTATATCTTAAAAAACTTAAAGAAAAATGTAGTCTTTGCCATTTCTATGATTTCTTTATTCTTAGCGCTTTGCTCTAACTGTATTGTTAACTTATTTGTAGTTTTAAGTATTATTTTTAAGGATTACCCGCATACAATGTATTTCACAAATGTAACTTGTACGTACTGGCTTTTAGTGAATGTTATAATATTAAATGTGTTTTCTCATGTAAGTGAATTTATTATTCTTAATGAGTAATAAAGATTCTAAACAGATCATTTTTTCTTGCATGATGTGCAGAATGAGTCCCATCTCACTGATCACGACTAAGTAAATATAAATAATATTTTAGTAAACAATATTTTGAATTTATTTTTGCATCGATAAGCGTTATCTAATGTAAATATGTCACAAACCGGCTTTAATTAAATTATTAGTGTACGATTTAATTAAGATATGTCATGGCACTGACATTAGATAATGAGTAAAAATTTTCCATTCACCGGAGACTGTGTTATCTTTCATAAATAGAACACACGCTGTGTTACAGCGGAAGGAGGAAGGAGAAGGCCATTCATTCTATTTATTTTTTTTATTATTTTTTTATTATTTATTTCTATTATTTTTAAAAAAGGTCTGTTAATTTTTTTTATATTTTCTTTGTATATTTTTATTTGGATAGTAACAAACCCTTATTTTGTTTCAGTTCTTACGTTTTTAAGATTTTTTTTTAATTAAATTTATTTATATCCCACGAAAACAAGAAACAGTAAATACTTTTGCGAGTTTAATTATAATTAGCACACAAGATCAATAAATAAAGATAAGATGCAACTTCTAAAGTCCTTGTTCCAGTTTACATTTGTACACTCTTGAAATTTTCATCTTCATTCTGATAGTCTTCAAAGTTAAATTTACATATCCACCAAGAAAGGTTCGCTCTTGACCTAATTTTATAAATTTCAATGTCAATAAACTTATCCGGAATTTTCATCCAAACACACTGCCACACTATTCAGAGTTGTATAAACGCGTGGATGGCGCTTCATAATCTATAAAAGCGTGCGATACAACTGATTCCGTTTAGTTCACCGCTGGCCGCTGTAATATATAAAAGTGTTTTATGTTCACAGAAACGCGATGTGTGCGGCAATAGATATGCTCGCGTCTGAGCAAATATTCTACGGTCACAGTCCGCCGGCGGGGTTCTTGACAGACTACACGCCTCCAGTTAGAAGACCAACAAAACTAACAACGAGGGGTTATTCTGCACCATGTCTATCACTTCTCAAACCAATCCAGTTAACCCTCAAAGCAGCGCCCCGATCTTGCATCAAACTATCCACGGACAAAACGAAGAAACGTGTTGTGTTTGCAGATGATAGAGGTTATGCTCTGGAACAAGTTAAGTTCATGACGGAACCGTCCCATGTACCTCCTTATTGGGCTTTGAAAGTAACTCCCAGTTCATTGCCAGTACGAGAACCACCACCCAAGAATGTGATAGACTTATGGGAGCAACGGTTCCCTCAACCAGCTTCAGATTACTTACAATTTAGAAGACGCATCACAGAAAAATGTGTGTCCTTAGAAAATGTGATACTTAAACAAGATGAATGTGCGGTAGATGGTACAGTGAAAGTGAAAAACTTAGATTTTAACAAAGAGGTCTTTGTCAGAGCATCTTCAGACGGCTGGAGGACACATGAAGACACATACTGTGCATTCGTGGAAACAGGGCCTTTAAGCAAAAATGGAGTATCTGTGTATGATACTTTTGGATTCCGATTGCAGCTACCAATTCATTCCAGGAGGTTAGACTTCTGTGTGTGCTTTAGATGCCAAGGCAACGAATATTGGGATAACAACAACGGTGAAAACTATATAATAGAAAAATCATCAGTTCGGAAATCGCCAGCGATCTCTTGTGCAAGAATTAATAACGGAAATTCGTGGACGGACCGAGCTAATACCAGTTTTAACACTCCTTATTGGTGAACAGTGTTTGGCAATTGCTAGTGTTTTGTGCCATATTGGTTGAGCTCGAAAGTTGGTAAATAGTCATGGAGTGACACTGAGTGTTGAATACAGTGAATAGATTTGGATGCTCAATTGTGGAAGCTGAAAAGCTCAATAGGTAATAGATATAAGACTAGGAAACGCCTGATGTAAAGGGATTTTAATCGACTTTTTCGTTTTAATTTCATCATATTATACATTATTTCTTCCATAATAATTGAACTAAAAGGCACTTTTAAATGATTAACTTAATTTACTCACTAGATCTTGCTCAATAGATCTTATGCTTCCTATATAAAATTAACAGTATTAATTTATTGTAAGAGAGATATTTCAAAAGACGTACGATATCAGCCGGCACGATGCTGATCGTTATAAATAGACGGCAATAAATAATCTATATATAAACGGTATATAATTAAAGCCTTGTATATTTGTACGCGATCTTAATTATGGCAAGTAGCATAAATATATAATAGTGACTCCTCCTAGAATAGTAATTCCTCGTATATCTGACCTAATAATTAATGCTGGAACAGATATTTTTATTTGTCAGTCAAAAAAAATTCTATCATAGACAATTAAGCAAATGTTATCGTAGTTAGTTATCAAGACATTGAAATTAACTTCAATACAATACGTATATATTATTATTTTGTAACATTTTAATTTATAAAGTTCCCGTGTCACGTCATGTTGGTTTGGGAACTTCGAAACTACGTATCCGATCCCTATATTATTTTTTCCAAAATGTGTGATTTGTTCCAACTTAAAAGACAGGATAATTTTTGTCCCGATAATTTCTTTTATTATTGCAAAATTAACGATTTTCATATGTCACAACAACGCGTGGCCGGGTCTGCTAGTTTATTATAGATTTATTATGTCAATTTTAATTCCAATTATATTTGTGGATATTTATATAAATAATATATGAATAGACAGACGAAAATATTTGTTTTACATGTAAACATAGGAAATACTTAACTGAAGGTCACCTCATGGTTACTCTAATGGTCATTCTCACTCGTGACTTTGAAAGAACCTTCAAATAAGAATCGATTTTTAATTAATTCATCGTTCATATTAAATTACTAAGTTATAATTTAAAATGATAATTTGATATTTGAATTTGAGAATAATATTCGAGTTTTATTCATTGTTGCTATGCCAAGTTTTACTTTGTAAAAATCGCCACAAATGCCAAAAGCAATACAAAACACAACTCCCCGGAAATCGATATTATGGCCTCCGAAATGCGAATAATTTATTCAAGTTATCATTTAAAAGCGTCTTAATAATAGCAAGTACAAGCAATGACCTTACAGCATTCCACTAAACGTTTTATTATAAATGTATGTAATATATTATTATTTAGAAAAATTGTGTGTGTTGTATGTGAAATGGAAAATTGAATGAAAATATTAATCAGGCGTATTGTAAAATGCCTAGATTTTTATCTACAAAAATCCATATTTTAGTTGAAACAAATTACATTCAGGTAGACCAATGTCATATACATTTCATTTTAAAAAGTCGATTAAAAACCTGATAAGAATATATTTACAAGTTAAATCTGACAATATTTTTTTTATATTTACATAATATGTATAATAAAATATTTCCACGAGAATATGTTGGTAGAAAATGCTGAGCTTAATATTAAACCGAGAAAGCCCAATAACCTGCTATGTGGCGTATTGGGTGACCCCCCTCAAATATTAAATGATTTTTATAATTATCAAACATATTCTCATAGAAACAAACAATATTTTTTTATTTTAAATGTATTAAAATATAAAAATTATGAATTACTATTTATAAAATCTTACTACAATTTTATTTTTCTGAAATTGCTGAGTAATGATCATTATTATAGTTTTATGTTATTAATGAAATTATTTTTAAGGATTTAATATTATTTTGGGTGCACTTATGTTATAATTTTGATCTCATCATTATTGAAATCTAAGTGTAACTAATGAAAAATATGGGTCTAAAATATTTTATAAAATTATAAGACCCTGTTTAAACATCCCTCTCATGTTTTTTTAATGTATTTTAATGAATTTAAAGCGAGCAACATTACTTTTAAGTCTGCTTTTTGTTGAACATCTGAATAATTAATGTTATTTACATAAACTATATATTTTGTATGTTCAATTATAATCAGAAGCAAATATGAATCCATTGAAAATAGTTTCATTAAAATAATCTAGTATATAATAATTTATTGTAAAATGTATTTTAGTATATTTATGAAAACGGGGTTGTATTTAATGAACTGTTTTAATGAAAGAACTGATTAATGATAACTGTTGATTTATATAATGATTTATATTTTTATATGAAATTAAGTGAATAATGATAATAATAATGATATACAATAATGATGACTGTTCCTCTCGTTTTTGTAGAATATTAAAAATTGATTTTGGAAATTGTGTTGTTATTTTTATTTTACTTTAATATATATTCAAAACTTACAGAAAGTAGAAAAATGAGTTCTATGCACATAATTTATTTTAAAAAGTATTTATTTTAAATATGTAAACATTTGTAGTTCAGTTTCTAAGTACCACTTGTGGTTGTGTATATAATGTTGTAAAAAAATAATATTTACAAAGAAAGCAATTCATTTTATAATATAATCAACACTTGAATAAATATTTAAAAATTATAAGATGCTAGCGACTTACCGCTCACTCACTCGCTTCGCTCGGGTGCGTCCCGAGGTTAATTTTCCATACAAACTGTCATCCCCGTTTTCACCCCCTTAAGGGATGATTTCCGGGATAAAAAGTATCCTATGTCCTTTCCAGGGTCTCAAACTATCTCCTTACCAAATTTCATCTAATTCTGTTCAGTAGATCCAGAAATTACCCCCTACAACGTCACGAAATCACAATCTCACAAACTTTACCTCTTCATAATATTAGTATAGATAATATGAAATAAATTAAAAAGAGGCCCTATTGATATTTACTTTGTGATCTGAGCGTATTTTGCTCAATATGTACTTAAAACACTAGTGAGATATTAAAAAAAATATTGATGCTCGTCAATAGCTACTGAACAAAAAAAAGGTTAATAAACAAAATAGAAAAAAAGACTGAACTTTTTTGTCTTTACCTATTTAATATTTATATAGATAAAATTCAAATTAAATAATTATCTTTTGGTGTTACTCCTGCAAATAGTGAATAGGTAAATCTCGCTAATTAGAGAATGTAATCCAAGGACCAAGACTTTAGACTATGACTCCCAATATATAGTCCTTAGACTCCCTACAGGTTACACAGATTTTTTTTTTATTTTTTTTTTTATTTATTTGGGAAACAAAACCGATCAGCAGTATGGTAGACGTACTGCGCCACAGAAATCTTAATAATAAGCTAATAGAAGTGGCATAGACGCGTGACCTTGTCGCCGCGCATGTGACTCGTAGGTCACAAGCGCGTGTAAAGCGTTTGTTGCGGTAACTAGTGTTATTTGAGACACGGAGAGGTAAACATGGTGTTTTGCAGCATATCCAACTGCGGAAATTCTTCCACAATTTGTAACTTTACAAATAAAGGGATAACATTTCATATATAAGTACTTAATTTTTGAAATAATGTCGTTTTTAAGAAATATAGCCAAATCAAATGTTTTCACCACCACTACTACGATTATCGCAGGAAAACGTTTTTTTTTCAATTCAATAACCATTACCACTTAAGCTTATTCATGTCTACTATTACAACTGCTAAAAGCATCAATGAAATAATAGTCATGCGTAAAGAACAATATCGTCGCGTACGTAAATTCCAAGGACACGCCGCATAAGTTGACCGCGAATTAGTGACGTGCCACCACTATTTTTTATCGAAAATTTATTACGTTTGGCTTAATATTTATCGTTAAATATTTAATTGTTACATCTCATTATGTATGTTTTCTTTCTGTCTGAATAATTTATAAGAAGTCATTTATCAACGATTATCTGTAAATTCGTACTTTTAAACTACTTTTTCATTCAGAAAATTATTAGGAGGTAGGCTTATTATTGTTATGTATATGGGTAAGTCAAAAACAGTATGCGTTGAATATCCTTGTATCGTTGACATGTTCCGCATTTACCAAATTTTTTTTTTGATTTGATTTGATAAACATAACAGAAAATCTATAAAAAAAATTAAGTCATTGTTAAAAATGTATAGGATTTTAACAAATAGTTTGCATAACTTTTGTATAATAATAATAATAATAATAATCATATTTATTGCAAAGGTATACATACACCCAATTTAGAATATAATAACATATATGTAGTTATACAAGTCAATTTTTATATCACTTATGCATATATATGCAAGTCAATAAAAACATTATAATAACAAAATTCAGTCAGACTCTTCATTGAATTAAACTAGAATTAAAAACAATATATCGCTGTTGAGTATATAGTAGCTGTTGAGTGTATAACTATATAATAATAAAAAAAATACTTACTTTTAACGTTTTATTGTATTCCCTTTATGAAAATAAATAAATCGTCTAAAATCGCGTCGAGGAATGAAACATAAAACACTTTCAATAAATTAGTTACCTATTGTTGCAAGACTCAACGGAAAATTATCGATATGAGCATTATGCGCTTTGTGCTGCACTAGAAGTGAGCGCGCGATATCATTCTGTGCTTTTCGCACACGTTTATTATTGGTCACAGGGATCACGGGTTCTGAGATTATGCGTTTTTAGAAAATATTGCGTAATGTCATCGCTTAAAGTTTAATTTTTGTTGCAACAATGCAAAGTGCACGTGTGACCGATAGTGTGTATTTATTGTTTGTCAATGTGTTGGTAGCTGCAAGCCGGCGACACGCGTCCCAGTACTAAAAGACCGCAATGGCATTTCTATTACCTTATTATTAAGATTTCTGTGTACTGCGCCGACCCCAAGTAATTTGGGAAATGGGCAGGAAGAAGAAGAA